CGAATTCCGAAGTTCAGAAGCCAACCGACGATTGCGTTTTTCGCTGCTGTCAATCATCTTAACGGACCTCTTAGGAAACAAAACTCTACTTCACGGCTTCAAAAGGTCATGGTTTGTGATTTGTGGATTTCGATCCGTTTTGTGTGTTTCTGTGTTTCAAGATTCGTTGCTTTTGATCGTAATTATGATTGACGGCAGCGATAAACACAATTGTGAAGGTGGCTTTTGAACTTTAGAGTTCGCATGTTTGTGAAAAGCGCAGTAAAGTCTCCGTGCAGTCAGTGAGGCCCCTGGATCAGGGGGGATCAATGGGCAGTTAACTGTCTGTTTTAGTATACTTCTGGTTTTCATATAATACAATATTTCTGTCTAGTGTAAATCAGCTCATTATACTCGTAGAACGACAACAATTTTTGGAATTTCCAGTTACGTCACGTTATACTGTCACGCTATATTTTGAGGCACAGAGGGATTAGGGGAGGGGTACGTGGAAATAATGCAAATTGTTTCCTGCTTAGAATTAATGGCTAACTTGTCTATTTTTATTCATAGTGGTGGAATTTAAAAGTTATTATACAGCACCCACTTAAAAATGGTACTCTTTTTTGGGGGTTACGAAAGTCTTTCAAAAGGGTACAATGTTTTGAATGAGTTTATGTTTCAGTCTCACATGAGGTTCTGTCGCATGCAATGGTTGCCGACAAGGTTTTATGGTAGCCTGAGTGTGTATAGCCGCCCCCTCCCCTCAGAAAAAATAGCCCCTTGGCAGCCCAGTTAAAAATCGCCTTTCGGCGATTCTTGTTTTATAATGCTATACAAATTCTGGTGGTTATAGATAGTTTTACTGAAGATGACGGAAGACAGTCCGTCGAAACAGCTTTGTGAAACTTTAATATCTTTTCTGGTTTATCAGAAACTCTGTGATATCTGATGTTGCAACCTTTTAGATCTACTTCAGTCATCCCCGTATCTAAAACATGGTCACAGGCTTTATATTTTAGTAAGGCCCTTTGATCGTCATAACTTACCGTCAAGAAAATTTAAGAAATGGTAAAAGTGCAGTGTGCGACCATCGAGTTATGGATGCACGCGGGAGGTTGCTAAGCACAAAAGAAGCGTGAGGGTTTTCTTGAGGCGAAACCGAGAGCAACTCTAGTTTCTTAAGTGCCTAGTAAACCTCCCAAGTGCATCCATAACTCGATGGTTGCACAGCTGTCACGACGTTTACTATTTCTTTTATAAAATAAAAAAAAAAAAGAGAAACAACTTCCATTTGCCTTCGGCTGACTCCGTTATCGGTACTATAAAATAGTTGATGTATTTTGCGCCCTGCCAGCGCGTAAACAAATCATGCCTTTCAAGCACTTGTCTTTTTTCTTCTTTCTTTCCTTTCGCTGAATCAACAGTTCTCCGTATTAAGGTAAATTGCAAAACGTTTTTTGTTATTATTCTGAATGGCGTCTACGGTGTACTTGCTCTTCTAGGGTAAATACTACATGTATGAGGGAAAACTATAGCTACAACTATGAACACCAATTCAAACACAGCCAATTAACTTTAAATATGATGATTGTGTGACAATTTTTGCAGTAAATTTAAAGCAGAAATAAAGGAAAATTGACTGTTAGTATTCTCTTTGGGATATCAGTAACACCTATTTTTTAAAGAAATTAATTAGCCTCGTATCGAAATTTTTTCAGGGAAATGGAGCAAAAAGTCAAACTGAGACAGAAAAAAATCGCCGACAAAGCCGGCGCTGAAACCATGCGTGAGCACTCAAGTAGATTAAGGCCTGGGTCTAAGAAATAATAAGAAAATAATATGGTTTTTATGTACATGTACAGTTTCCAAAAACTGTGGTTAAGGACATCCACGAGGGACGATTATGGTAAAATTAACTAAACTTAAAAAAAATTGTAGCCATCGATTCCCACCACTTGCCAGACGAGTAGCTCCAGTTTCTTTGTATCAAAACATTGTCCCTACAGAGTGTCTACGAAATCGGCTGGGAATGGCTCGAAGCTTTACAATTGGCAGGTGCAATTGGTGTTCATTGACTAGTGACAGTCCTTCTCTAACTGAGATTATCGTTGTTGTACACCAATGGGCAAATGGTTTATTGATAACTGACCAATCAGAACGCGCGGTTTACTACGGTTATGTTATAGTGGAGCTCTCGCGCAGGCTACGATGACCCGGACGATCATATTCAAGCTACTTATTATGAAATGACAGTGAAATGACTCGTGAGTTCAAATCTTTCGCAGTTTTTTAAAATATATAACGAAACATAACATTAAAACGATAGCCAAGAAGTAAAATGAAAACATACTAACTAATGGTTGCCTAAACATGCTTCCTGTTTCTTTTGTTTTGTTGTTTAGTTTTGTTCTTTTTTTTTGACGAGTTGACAAGTCTAGTAAAAATTTTCCGCATAAATTAGGACGGTTTTCGCGTATTCTAGTTTAATTCATGGGCCACGTTTGATTCGTCCTTGCTCCTCTTCAAACAGGCCCAAAACCCTGGGACACCACTGATTGTAGAAATCACTTTTCGTATACTCATTCCTCTGAGAGGTAGCAGTTTGAATAATAAGCGAATGAGTTGAACATGGTGTTATAAATGCTTAACATTATATCTGGCTTGGGCCATCAAGTGTTTGGCAAAGACTTCACTTCTGCTTTAAAACATCAGAATGAACTGTTTAACTATTTTAAACAGACTAGAGAAAATAAACAGCCCGCCAAAGTTAAAAGCCGAGGTATTAGGTTTTCGATCAATTTCTGTTAGAACGACCACTGGTTTAAGGTGTCCGATTGATTTTGGAAATGAGATCGTTTTAGGATTTCCTTAGCCAGGAAGGTGCAATAATCAAAGAAAGTATGGATTCAGTTGCTCTGTTTATGACTGATATTCAAAGTAAGCTGCTGGAGCTGAAGTAAAATATCAATGCCTGGAGGGCACTCATTACTAAGGCAAAAACGAAGCAATTTAAAAACAGATCGTTCTTTGGTTAGTTGTCACGATTCAACTTTCTCTAATAACTGTTAACTTCAATAAAGAGCTATGTTAAGTCAAAAGCTGCAGATCATGACGCAAACGACACAGATCTACAACGTATGATTATCTGAGCCTTACTATTAAGAAACGAGACGACAGCCTTTTCCATCGAATCACTGAGATAGCTTTTAGAAAAATAAAATATATATTGACCCAAGTGCATGACCAGCAGGGTCTGCAGTAAGATTAAAGAAAAAAAGGCCAAAAGGAAAAATAGTGTTTAAAAAATTAGACCAAACAGGGAAAAAAAAACGGTACAAAGAAACAGAAAGCAGCGTTTTTTTTGCAGGGAGTCGAGCCCGGTTTATCTGCACGTGCAAGAAACTCCTTGTCATATCAAAACAATTTTTCTCTGCCATAGACGCTGTTTGAAGCTGGTAGAGCTGTATTTATCATGAATTCAAATATACATTTGAGGAAAACTGGCTTAAGCGCGTATTTCAAAGCTATCTGGCATTATTTCTTGTTCAACAGGCCGATCGATGTAGATAATCGATCGAACTAGCTTTACTGAATTTGGTGGAGAATTAGGAGATCAACAGAGGCCCGCACTCGAAAGGAATGATATGAAGTTGGACCCATTTTATTAGCGAAAGAATAGATGAAATATAAACATGCATGATCTGGGAATGGAGCCTCCTATTCCGGAGACTAGACCTTGCCTATTTTAGAGAAAAAAAAAGATTTAAGTTTTGATGACCTTGCCGGTTCCGTGAAATAGATGGCGATACCGCAACACGGCTTGCAAAACAAATTAACGAAATTATACAATCACGGAAACAAAATATCAAAACGGTTTACACAAGCAGATTATAGCAACACCAAAGCTCACACACATTCGATCAAATAAGCGATATATAGCGATATTTGTTAGCTTCTTTGCTTTTCCTCGACCTCGCTCGTCCAAATAACTGTCGTATCCCTTGCTAATTTGCACAAGCGACCCGAGGCTCTTGCCCGTTACTGTGACGTCATACTGGCAGGCGGAGTGGGTCAAGAAACTTAGGTGGAAAACAATAGAGTTACCTCCCCATCCCCCCCCCCCCCCCCCCCACTGGGGTGCTGACATATGAGCTTTTTTTTCAAAATAACTCAAAAACTAAAGCAATTTGGCCGATTTGAAGAGTGAAATTCGAGGTAACAGAACATTTGTTCAGTGTCTTACTTCGCAGTCGAGTTTTATCGGCTCTACCGAGCATATGCCCTAAATGCAATGAAATGCGCTCGACTTTTTACCGTCAGAACCTTGCGTGTTTTAATTCCTGAAAGATCACTGAGTTGAGGAATACGGCTCGAGCAGCTTGTTGAGTCCCGTCTGACTCTTTTTGTTTGTTATTGTTTTATTTTTGGTTCTGTTTTTCTACGCTAATTTATGTCGTTCCCAAATCAACATCATTTTACCCAAATACCAAGCGGACTACCCCCTTAAGAGATCAGAAGGAAATTGAAATTTGTTTCTCGGTCTCAGAGCTAAACGAAGTAATGCCTGTTGAACAATGTTAAGTTATTAGAGACATTAGATCACTTCAAAACGAAAGCACACCAAAAGACGCATTTTTTAATTGAAATTTTAGTCAGGAGTAAGGATTTTTATCACAAGTTAACTTGAATGTAAGTTATCTTAGAGAGATCTTTGGCTTTAAAATATTGACTCCTTGATGGCGTCCCTCCAAGAAACTTATATATTCTAATAATGTAAGCCGAATAACATGAATACTTGGGGCGCCTTTTGACACCTTATTTGAATTTACACCAACCCAGATACTATGTTGCCAGATTTCGCCTGATTTTCGCCACTGCTTGTATTCCTGGACAAAGGGTAGTGGTCTCGTTTTTCAACTTTTACTCTAAATCCCGCACTCATTTGCTCCTAGCTCCGAGGATCACAGATCTGAGTCGTTTATATCATCATCAGCAGCATTTGAAGACGCCTGATTAAAGTCCTTAAAAAATGTCAACCAAACGCTTAATATGATTGTCAACAAACTTGGAATAATGCTTGACACAAGGCCTCCGTGGAAGAAATGGCTACCAACTATGAAAAAAGAGTATTGCACGCATATGGTTGAAAATACTGCCAAGACCAACATTGTGAAATTTACTATGTCTGTAGCGTCCCACTGCCGATCAGTAGAAAAATAGAACAAGGCCGAAAGATAAAACAATAATATTACTGCTGCACACGATGTTACAAGAGGTATAGCCCAGAAGGGTTCAGTGATTGCACCAATGATCATCCATAGCAAGTAATGGACGACTATGAAACATCCTGGATCCACAGTGTAGGGCAATGGAGTTTTACAGCTTACTTGGGCATCTGTTCTAAGGTAAAGGCAAAAAATTCCACGCAAGACAATCAGTGCAATGGAAAAAAGATATGTCAAAGGATACACAACTTGGTTTCCTTCTGCGCTATAACTAACAGCAATTATGGCAAAAATTACACCCAAACAAAAGACAATGAACAGGAAAAATAGGGTTGCTTTTACAACGGTCTTATCTTTGTAATCATTAAAGAGCTGAATACAAATCATACTTATGAAATAACCTCCGGTCAAGGAAAAAAGTAAAAAAATCCAGCACATCTGAGGAAATATCTTTCCCACACTTTTAAACCTATGTTTGGAATCGTCGTCCACAACGCATTCAGCATTGTTCAGAGAAGGATTAAAGTTTGATGGACTGATGGCGATATCCTCAAGCTGAAAATAGAAGCCGGAAGAATTTGTAAGTAAAATGGTGCAACTACTGGGCTATCTGTAAACGATATCTCAATCACGAACAATATAAATAGCTATGAATCCTTAGTAAGCAAAAACCACAAATAAAATTTATCTTTACCCGACAAAAAGTTTCACAGTTTTCCTTTACAGAGGATTATTGTTTGAAAACCTTAAACAATAATTACTCAGAGGAATAAAGCAATGGGTCAAAGAAACCTCATCATAAGAAATCGGTTATATTCATTCAAAAATCATTCTCTGTTTCTGATTGACCTAGGTGCAAGGGATGGCGTAGTGGTGAGAGCGCTCGCCTCCCACCAATGTGGCCCGGTTCAAATCCCGGCGTCGACGCCGTATGTGGGTTGAGTTTGCTGTTGGTTCTCTCTTTTGCTCCGAGAGGTTTTTCTCCGGGTACTCCGGTTTTCTCCTCTCCTCAAAAACCAACATTTCCAAATTCTAATTCGACCAGGAATCAGATACCGTATTTACTCGAATAGACGCCGCACTTGAGACTCAAAATATTAATAGACGCCGCCCCCGAATAGACGCCGCGTCTACGGTGCGGCGTTTATTTGAGAAAATAATGATTTATAATAATTATTAAAGAAAAGTCTATTTCAAGTTTAAACCAGCCCTGGAAATTTATTGTCTTTTAGAACAACATTGTTTAGTTTAAAGTGACTCTACTTTTTTGCTCTTGTGTTAAGTTCTCTTTCAAGAATTTTGCAACGCTTAATTCTGCTGTTAATGCAGAGATTTGTTAGTGTTACCTAGCAAAAAAGTTACCATATTTAGTACTGAATAAAGTGATTTTTGAATAAGCGCCGCCCCCGAATAGACGCCGCCCTCGAAAAAACGCCGCAGCTGGATCGCGAAAAATGAAATAAACGCCGCGGTGTCTATTCGAGTAAATACGGTAGACGAAGAACCACTCTGTGCATGTTCTACTCTGCTTCCAAATCATTATTTATTTATTTATATCTATTTACTTTATTTATCTAACCAGAACACTGCTCAATTTATTATTTGGCAGAGACTAGGAGCTAAGTAAGCGAAAAATTTCTATACTCACTGTCGATAAAAAATCAACTAATTTTGCTTTCGTTTGCTGTGGGTTGCAAAACTTAGGGATAGTGATGTGCAGATCTTTCTGTCGTCTGTCAGGCCAAATAGTACCCATAGAATAGATTCTCATGGCTTGGAGACTCAGGTAACGATCGCTAACATACAAACATGACCGACTCCAAATATATTTTGCTTGGCCGACTTGAGTTAGGTTAACTGAAGAGTTTGTAAAGTGTACCCAGATGTTGATAAGCTTAGACGATAGACCCTCCGAAGGAAAAATTGCCCGCGAGTGTTGAAATAGTTGTCGAAAGGTGGATGCATTGATGTCAAAGCATCGTGAATTTGGTAGTTATATTTTAAACAGTTTATGTCCTCCACTCCTGCCTCTCGAATGCTCGTTTCCAGCGGCGACGCAGAAAATGACTGGTGAATTTCGCCAGACAGAAAAAACAGATAAAACAACGTGATTTCGATTAAGGATGTCCATTTCATCATGTTCTCGCCTTCCGGCCCACTGAAGATCAATCAATCATACATTTTGTCTTAAATACTGTTTTAAAGTCACCACTATGCGGTGATTTAGACATTAGAATAGATGTTTCGGTCTACCAAACCGCCATTGATTAAAGCTTCAATAGTGATATTGGCTGCGGCAAACTGCAAGTGTTCCAATTTTATCTTCTTGTTAAGGAAATCGAAAGCCATTTATCGTTTTTTTTATTAGGGGAAAAAGGGGTTGGGGCCATTGTAACCCGTCTTTTGTCTTTTTTTGTAAAGTTTTGTCAATTGGAAAACTATAAGGTCGTTAATAGAGTGAAATTGTTGGAGCATAAACGAATGCCACTTGGAAAGTTATTCAACTTTCTTGACGGAAATATTTTAAAATGGGAATTGGTAAAATAAGAGCGGTATCTTGTAAGAAAGTCCAATTCTGATCAGTTTTTTGCTAAAACACCTGAAAAGTACAAAAGGTGTGGCATTGACTGTGTTGAAGTTCTTTATTCATCGATTTAACCGGAAGTTTAGTTTCTTCTGTGGCAAAGGCTAGTAATAGGTAAATTTTACGAACTGGAAATTGTCATAAATGACACTCTAAATCGATGGTTTCAACCACCTTTTAACACTGATGCAATATGTTATAGTTGACACACAAATGAAAATTATTCGGACCATCACTCGTTAAGACAAACGACAAAAATTTCGCCCACGGCGATAAACAATCAAACTAACCAACCTACCTTGATATAACAATAGGACATGTTTGTTTTGAATACCAGTGGTAATATTGGATCAACGGTCTTGAGACAGCTCCCGTGCAAATGGACTTTAAACAAACGAGTCTCGGGAACTTTTAATGTAAATTCATTTGAGCTATATATCTGAATGAATGAATGCGGAGTGGAATGTCGTGGATGAAAGAACAACAGAGCGTCCTCGCTACATTTGTTGGCTTCACACTAGAGCTTCAAGTATAATGAAAGAGTACTTGGAACCTACTTTGATTGTGAAGAGGTAAAATGTACCTACTTCAACTTTACTTTGGTGACCATGGAAACGTTCGTAGTTCAAAGAAGCCGAAGTTCGCCGCCAAGTATGGGCTACACCACACTTGAGAACACACTTGGCCAATAAGGAATGGACGCCATGTGCACGATGTGCACGTGCAGCGGTTCCAAGATTCTAATGAACGGAGAGATTGATAGCTTTTGTTTCAAGTAATATACTTTGTCAAAAACTATGAAGCCATGTTTTATACAGAACGACTTAAGATTTCCAAGTGCAGTTGAATCAAGTGTCTACTTGAAACTAACTTCGCTTCTAGTGTGAAGCCAACAATTACACACAAAAAAGTCCCACGACTATAAGAACCTGTATTTTCGCAAGTTAGCCTAAAAACGTTCTAACATTATTAAAGGGTAATTAGCACGCATTTAGGCTATTTAGGTTTTTAAATAGGTTCTTATTTTTCTGAAGAAAAATAAATACTTTGTAAATGGAATTACACTGTAGCTCAGAGTACTTTTCATGCTGTAATCTATGGTTCTGGTTTAAACGTTCATCATTCTGCCAACTCTTCCATCTGCTGATGTGTAGGAGATACATTCAAACAATGTTATTTAACGGTCAATACTAATAATTCAGACTCATATAATTTATATGCTGTATTTAATTTGAAATTGTATCAATAACAATTTTTTCATTTTCACCATTGGCCTTTACATTGCAGGTGTGATAAGGCACCTATGTCTCTAAAGAGGCTTCTGAGTGTTGACCTCTCTTGATTGCCCAAGTGTACAGAATTTTTGAAAAATAGATTTTAGAGAATAAGAACCTGTTTCAAATTTTACGCTAAACAGGTTCTTGTATAGAGGGGGCCTAACTGGCAAATTTTAGCCGAACAGGTTCTTAGTCGTGGGTTTTTACTCTATTCAAATGCGAACAGTAAGATCGGACGTCAGGATACAAGGGCGCCACTGGGAGCCTTTATCGGTCCATTTATAAGCTTTTGGTAACCCACCCAGCCCATTGGGCTTATTTATGTACAGGACGGGAACGTCAGTTGACGACCGAAAAGCGCGCAAAAAGGACTAAACACGACTTCCGAACCCCAATTTGCCGCTCTGCCGTTGGCCAAGCCAGTTGTTTGATTTGCGCTCGCCGTCGTCAACTGTTCCCGTTCTATTGCTAAATGATGTGGCCCTCCCCGTCCTATCGATCCGTCCGTCCGCCCACCATTTATCCATCTAACTAGAAATAAGCCAGTCCCATGGCTAAATTCGGAAATAAGAAAAAGGCAAGGCTAACTAGGGACGCATTGAAAAGAAACGCCATTAAAACTGGTTCACTCACGGGAGCGATTACTGACGCCAACAACTGAAATCATTATCATCATCATCTTTATTTATACACGGTTACAAACATCAGGCATATAAAAAAATCACTAATATTTCCATCAATGTAATACAAGGAAAATAATACAACATATCGCTAAAGACTATGTATACAGATTTATCATCTATAATATAAAAATGATACTAACTAAGAAAAGAAAACTAAATTAAAGTCTGTTTTTAGGGAATGCCATGTCGGAATTAATTAACAATCGTTGAAAATTAGTTAGAGATGTTGCTTGCCTGACAACTGAGGGCAGACTGTTCCAGAGGACCGGACTCCACCGCTGTAGCTAAAGCTGTTCTTTGTAATAGTTAGTACGTGGCAAGGGAATAGCAAACTTATTCTCTGAATTACGCAAACTGTAAGAAGTAATCATATTACATCGACGTCGAGTTTCTAAATTGTCCCAGCCGAATTTTTAATTAGTTGGTTGGCGTCTGTGTCATATGCTTTCTTTAGATCAGGGGACGGGGGGGGGGGGGGGGTGGGGGGAGGTGTCTCCAACGAAATCTGTGGTACAGTCCGCCTGTCAGTGTGACGTCACGTCTCGCGTCAGTAACTTTCAAAAGGCAAGCAAAGTGTTCATCGAAGAGATGGATAAAAATTTCGATTTTATCACGGAAATACCGCTCCGATTTCTTGGATTTGGAGATTTTAAGGTTTCTATTGTCATAGAAAACTAGAATTAACTACCTTTTTGGAATGAAATGTCCAGTGGTGTAATGAATTTTAAAGATTCCTTTCTATCGTCGAGCAATCATACCGACCGGTCACACTTTTGAGGGCCAGTGCACAGCAAAATTGAGGAGTTTAGACACAGCAATAGGAGGTTCATCAAAGGATGTATTATACTTTACATTGTGCGTATTTTCAGCTCTTCAGAGCTAGTGGAACCCCATATCATTCCTCTCAAAGTTCGCTAAGCTGTGGCGTTGAAAGAGGAAGCTAAATGACAGGTATTTGTGGAGACTGTGAGCATTGAATCTTGTTGCTTTACCGCATTTTAATACTGTATTGGGCATACACCTGTAATTCTGTAATTACATCCCGAAAACCAATAAAAGGTTTCGTTTAATTATTTTTTGGGGGCAAACCCAGGGGAGATTTTAGGGCAATAATATTGATGATTGAGACGATGTACAAAAGGCACGTTTAACTTTGGCCACTAGGTCACTGGTGGGTGTTTGGTGTAAATTAGTACAGTTTGTGGTGTACTGTGTGTTGTTTGTCATGATGTCAACTAACATTGAAAAAAATTCGGCTGTTTCAGAGGAGGGACATGTCTTGACAGCTTATGGTTTTTTTCTGGTCGTAAGCTTGGCCAGTGTGCAGATCAAGAGCTTTTGAAATCCCTTTTCCAAAATAAAACTCCGGACTTAAGCTTGAAATATATATTGATCCAAGTGCATGACCAGCAGGGTCAGCATTAAGAATAAAGAAAAAAAAGCTAAAAGGAAAAAAAGTGTTTAAAAAAAGAGATTAAACAGAGAAAAAACGGTACAAAGAAACAGAAAACAGTTCCGCCGGTAGTCGAACCCGGTTTATCTACACGTTCAAGCAACTCCTTGAACACTGCACCACAGTAGCACACAAGATTTAAGAAATTAATTTTGTCATATCAAAACAATTTTTCTCTGACTTACACGCTGTTTGAAGCTGGTGGAGCTGTATTTATCTTGAATTGAAATACACATTTGAGGAAAATTAGCTTAAGCGCGTATTTCAGAGCTATTTCGCATTATTTCGGGATCGACTGGCCGACTCAATGTAGATAATCGATCGAACTAGCTTTACCGAATTTGGTGGAGAATCAGGAGATCAACAGAGGCCCACACTCGAAAGGAATGATATGAAGTTAGGCCCGTTTAATTAGCAAAAGAATAGATGAAATATAAACATGTGTGATTTGTAAAAGGAACCTCCTATTCTGGAGACTAGACCTTGCCTATTTTAGAGAAAAAAAGGACTTACGTTTTGATGACCTTGCCTGTCCCGTGAAATAGATGGCGATCCCCCAACACGGCCCGCAAAACAAATTAAAAAAATTATACAATCACGGACACAAAATATCAAAACAGTTTAAACAAGCAGATTATAGCAACACCAAAGCTCACACACATTCGATCAAATAAGCGATATATAGCGATATTTGCCAGCGTCTTAGCTTTTTCTCGACCTCGCTCGTCCAAATAACTGTCGTATCCCTTGCTAATTTGCGGAAGCGCCCCGAGGCTCTTGCCCGTAACTATATGACGTCATACTGGCGGGCGGAGTGGGTCAAGAAACTTAGGTGGAAAACAATAGAGTCACCTTCCCCCCCTGCTTTAGATCTAAAAAGTCAACGGCGTTAACATAGCCACGATCTTTCGACTCAGTGTATGACATCTCAAGCGATTTGAGTCCAAAACGCTATCGAAGTTTCTTCGAATATCTGGCCAAGAGACACTAGATAAGTTAGATCGAGCACTAGACAGAGAGGCAGCAAAGATGGCCGAGCGCGTAGCGCGAGGTCGATTTGAAACTGCGAGCCTGGTAACCTTGAATTGTAAGACACGGACCAATTAATTGTGTCAAAAATCAAGAAAATTAACTTACGGGTTCCCGATCAAAAATATGGCTTGTAGCTTTTGGCGGGACTATCGAAATATGGAGCTCCAGCTGCATAAACTGTTTGGAATGCATTTTTTTTCCTTAAATTCAATGTGTTTAACTGAGGCTGGAAAACTTGCTCAGGGAAGTTTATACCTTGGTATTGAATTGCGAGCATGGAGTAATTTGTTAAACTTTATTGGTTAGCAACATTTCATGCTAGATTTTCATTGGCTCTTCAACTGTCCGATTTGAACTGTCCGATGACAAGCAGCTTCTAATCGTCAAAAGTCAAATTGGACGGTTCTGGTTCTGGTTCTGGTTCTGGTTCTGATTATTATTATTATTATTATTATTATTATTATTATTATTACCATTATCAAACTACTCTCCCCCCTTGACTTGTTTCCTCAGCTGACAAAAAAGTACATTGGTATCTGCCCTGCCTTGAGGTCTCTTAAACTTGAGGAATATCGAAAAATAACCTAACACTCCTCTACATAGTTTAGTAAAAAAGGATTTCTTGTGGTGAGTATTCAATAACTAAAAATAAAGTTTTTTCGTTAACCTGTTAATAAACTCACAAGTGAGTTTTACTTGCTTTCCTCCTTCTCCACTGCGAACGCGTCCTTGCATCTCGGAAAGTCGTCTGTTAACCTCAATCAACATGGTGTCAATGTCGTCGCGCGCAACACACTCACGGAAAACTTCGACAAGACATTGAACAAAGTAGCTTCCACTTTCTTCATTTCTGTATGAATAAAACCCATCGACTGCTGAGTATGCCTCGAGGAAATGTGCTCGAGAATGACTAACTTGATTAGCAGGCTTGGCTCCCTCAGAAAGTCGTAGACTCTTCTGGGGTGCTGGGTTAGGCCCATCTGACACGACCAATTCTTCTCTACCTCCTCTACATGCCTGGATGAAGAAGACCTTCGGCTTGCCGTCAAGAGAACGGCAGGATGAATTGCTGAACAAATCACGAACTGTCTCGATAAGCACCGCCTCACCATCGGTGCCGTAAACCAAGTCTTTGTCTCCATGACTCATAAGCCACAGAACAAAGCAGTCATATCGACTGTGATCTTCACTGGCCATCGCATCCAACTCTTTCATGAGATCACTTTTGGTCAGATTCTCTTTTGTTGTCACTTTGAATCCAAGGGCTTGAAACTGCTCTTGAACTTTACGAACATCGAGCTTAGATCCCTGGCGATCATCCATTTGCTTCGAATGACTTAAAAATGTTTCATTGTTGATAATCAGGGCTTCTCCGCGTGGTGATGATGTCATTTTGTACACGTTGTCTTTTTCGTTATGAAAACCTGGGCGAACAACTGCGACAGAAAATAATAGATAACATAAAGAACTAGCAATGGAAAACTATCCGGTTTCAGTACGTGAATCAGAATAAGACGTCAGAGTCAGTGGGATTGATTGGTTCGAGTCACTTCGGAAACTGTAGAGTGTCCCGTAGTCGTGACATAAGGGACTTTGCAACAATTGTTAGGGAGGGGCAAGTAGTAAGGGAAGGTTGCAGGGTGTTAAGTAATACACCAAGAGTAGGCGGAGGGCAGCGTCAAATCATACGATGAAAAAAAAAATATGTTTGAAAGATAAATATATGAAAAGAAACAGTGGGGAGTTTAGCTAACCGAAGGCGAGCGCAGAGCAGCATAAGCTGTAAGAAAATATTATGCATGGTAGTCCATCGGTGTGATAATTTTCGACGATGACATAACCGTAGGTCGGCATAATTATAGCTGGTTCACGTAAGCCTGCGAGCAGGGCTCACTTGTGCGAATTCGGGGGATATCACTTTGGCGGCGACATCGAGCGAGGAAAAGTAAACCTGTTTGCGGGCTATTGATTTTTGAATTACTCCCCTTTTAAGGTGTCAAGATACCATCCAACAGGTGCAAAGCAAAAGTAAACAAGCTGACAGGAGGTTACGCATGCAAATGTCATGCTACACTTCATCAGTGGTCAAATCGGGTTAGAAACAAACACCAAAGAAAAGCAATCCACTTTCATCTCGACAAGCGGCAAATTTAAATTTTGCTCTGTAAAAATTTAGAATCCCCCCATAAAATTATCTACCCGCTAGAAACAAGTAGCTTCTAAACGTAACCTTGCGTGAAACAGACCAACTTCATGAGCTCTCAGTGTGAGACAAGTGACAAAAATTGGCTACTGAATTTTTGGGGAATTTGCTTAGTCCAAAATTAAGAATCCTCTAGACTGTCCAGAACATACGGATAATCGACCCGTTGGAGAGAAAAATATAAATAAAACTAAGCGGCATTTGAGGCAAAAGTAGTGCAGGCCTACCGACTCTTTTTATCAACTATATATTAACTTTGATATTTCTACCGCTGGGGACGTATTTCGTGCCTGCAGTGTAACCACGTGTTTTTGAAACCTGATTCCTCGTAAGTTTGTCAATTTGGAAGCGTCTACTTGTGGAACTTAAAACAGTCGGTACGTTTTGTAGTATTTCGGATGTTTCCTTTCGAACTTTTGAACACTGAACTCGTTGTAAGCTTGTATTTTGATTCTAGAAAAACTAACTTGTCGTGCGTAGGATATTCGAACTTATTTGGACCTACTTCGTCTTTAATTTGTTTGAACTTGACTTAGTTGACTCGGATCTGGATCTATTTGTCTTTTGAAACCTGATATGTTTATTGAATAAAGATACAGTTCAATATACGCGCAGTTCGTATTTTCGACTTTGGACCGCAACATTTGATGTGTAAATGTTTGTGCCGCGTGTTCATGGTTTTTGTCATAATTATGTTTCCTGTCAAAGCCTGTCACTTTTAACCAATAGGCCATTTGCACTAAGAGGTCACGTGACATCGTTTTTCTGAAAAGGAAACTTATTTGATTTTGCCTTCGAAAAACGATAAGTGGGTCATATCTTAAACAAAATAACAGTGATAAAGTTTTTCAAATCCGCACCATTTTTCCAAGTTCGTAGCTGGTCACGTGACCAAAATTCAAAAATTATGGATTACCTCTTTCTGAACCCAAATTTTGCACTTAAACTTCACGCAAAAGGTTGAAAAGATTGTGTGGTAACGTTTACAGCACATCTGAGCGTAACTATCAAACGTTTGACAAGATATAAGCAAAAAGTAGTTTTGGCCGCTATATTGGAGGGCAAGAATATACCCTCCAACATGGCGGCCAATACAAATGATACTACTTTGTTGAAAGTGGCATAAAATATCTCCCTTAAATGCGTTTCCTCTAAAGTTTCGGGTGTAAGATAATTTTTATGTGCTCTGTCAACTTTCGGCATCAGCAAGATTCCAACTTATTGTTTAAAGGAAGCACTGGTCTCGTGACCTCTTAGTGGAAGTGGCCTATTAGATGGCTGCGTTCGTCACCGAACGAGGGGAATCTAAAAATCAGTAGCTTGCGTGCAGGCTCACCTTTACTCGGCGTATTTTCCTCGCGTGCGGAAAAAAAATTTCCTGAACTTGCACAAGTGAGCCTGCTCGCAGGCTAATGTAAGCCGAGGTGTCTTATGCCGCTTTTCACTTTCACAAGCAAACTTATAAACATTGGTTTCTTCTTAAAAAAAAAAGAAAGGATATCACAGGAAAACATCAAGTGTTTGATTGCTTTATGGGCACTGTATGCGCCAATTTGTAAACTTAAAAGATGATTAGAGGCGTGATGTTTACAGGGGCTCTGGAGTTTCAAAAAGATTTGGGAAATCCATATATGACACTAATTTATCCGAAAACGTTTTATCATGAGAAAATAATGGGACAGAGAAGGAATCTTAATCGGGATATTCAAATTTTACTCATTCAAGTTATCTTTATAGGTTGCAATAAAACGGAAGTCGAATCCGGGAGAAGTCCGCACATTTTATTTAATTTGTTTTAAATAAAGCATCCTAACCGATCTAGTATTTTGATTTTGTAATTATTTTTTTATACATTTCTCCTATTTCTTATTTTCCACCTTTTTGCTTGTTTGTTTGTTTCTTTTTTTGGCTAATTTTGCGTGAAACTTAAAAAGCCCTTTTAGAGAGTTACAATAAGGAATGTATGTATGTACGTTTGAAACATCATTAACACCACTCGCGACTCCCCTAAATCAACTTAGACATTTTTCGTGACCTTTCAGAAGTCTTCGACACTGATTGCTCATAACTTTTTTATACACATTATGGTATTCGTGGCTTAGCGCTGGACTGGATAAGAAGTAAATTTTCAAACAGACAACAATATGTTAAATATAATGGCCACCGTTCGTTAAGACATGAAATCTCTGGTAGGGTTCCTCAGGGTTTTATTATCGGACCTCTATTTTTCTTACATTTTACATTAACAACATCAACAATACTTTAAATGTATTCATGTCACATACACTGTAAAGATCTGAGCTTTCTTTCAGATATAATATATAGATTTAGCCAGAGCCAAAAGCGAAGCTACCATTAATAAATTTATAATTTAAATGAAACAATAAACTTGTTATCCACAAATCAGTTAACTTCGGGGCACATTCATGTAAATTTTGAGGCAAAGGTTAACTTATTTTAGAGAAAAACATTGCAAACACTCCAAGAGTGAAACAAATCTTACGTCGAGTTAATAGCCTTATATGCACACCCAAAGTAGCAATCATCTCCCATGATCACAGTCAAGAGCATAATGGCTCTTGATCACAGTAGATTAGGCCTGGAAAACAAATTTTTCCCAAACAAAATGACCCAGTCACCCACCTAAACCACGTTTTTTTTTATAAGGTTAATTGGAGAGCACCGAAATTTAATGTTATGCTATAAAGGCCGGTTAGAAGCCACGATAGTCCTCGGTGGCAGCCAATCTACACGTTGTGATTTATAGGTTGCATTCCTTTATCTAAAAGGGTGGCCAGAATAAAAAAGCAGGGAATTTTTTGTGTTTATTTTACAAAATCTTGCCAACAATCTGGTGGAGTGTAAAGCAGCCTTTTACACTTTTCATTCATACATCACATCTGAGTTAAACAGTACTATGAGGGGCTGTTTTTTGTAATACAGACCTAGGACAGAATGCAGTTTTTCACATTTTGCAAGACAAATTACACTCATTCAATATTCAGGACGATCGAAGCACGCGCTTCATTTGCACAACAAATTAAAGAATTGACACTTATAAAATATTTTCGTGAAGAGAACTCCATAATGCCGAGAATTTTCAGTCACAGCAATCTGCTCCTATGTGGTATGCAAGGTAATAATGGGCTACCTTTTATCGAAAACGTTCAAAAAATTTCCAAAATCACCTTTCCGGCTAGCCAGTTCTCACTTTTGACAAGCGCCAATTTACAATGCGAGCTGCACGTGTTGGAATGAACAATAATAGAGTTACGCTTTAACATAGTATAGAATTTATTACGTTTATTTTTTATCTAATGGTTTTGTAACTATGTGTAATCTTAAAAAGCGCTTGATACGCGCGGCATTTTCAGTACTCTTGCAAGCGATGTTCATGTACGACTAAAAACAACCTGCACAGCAATTAAAATTGCAAGAGAGACTACTAACAATCAATAAAAGAAATATAAGTCGGTGAAACATTCACAGAGACAACAATTTTTGTTCACGAAGACAAGTATTGAAATTATCCTGAGTAATGGAAGCATATAAACAACCTTGCAGAAGTATGTTTTAAACCGGCTTCTCGATGTTTGCTTTTTTTTCAAGATGAATTCGAGGCAAGAAAATCGCTCAAAGCTTTCTGAATATTCTTGGGAACGCTGTCTTTCTGTTTGCGGTGAGAAAATGTCTAAAGGCCTTTTAAAGTTCTGTAAACTCATATCAAACCTGATATTAGGTCAGAGATTTAATAACAGTTTCTCCCAAAGCAAATAATTCCAGCTCTTGCCCGTAGTTCGAGGAGGGCTAACCTATCATAAGCACTTATAGTTTCTGTTAGGTCTCCTCGCCACTTTCTTCTTTTCCTATATTATTTGTAATTTCTATTTTTGTGTGGCAAATACATAAAATAAAAATCATCACACCACCATGATTTAAGGAGTATAACGAGAATGTATAGAAGCTTAAAAAATGTGCTTTAAGTGAGTGACCCTTTCGCGACCCAGGAAAGTCATCTGGTAAATCATCTCCAAATCAGTTATGCCAGAATACATGAATCAGGGATTGCTAACGAGATATCAGATCGGTCAGGCGTTATTTGACCCATTTCTTCATGAAAAGACCGGGGAGGACCCAAACTTGGCAAACAAAGAACAACAAAACAACTAGTGGCAACGTACCCTTAAGG